AAGTAGTAATAAAACCTTGCCACACATACACGTGTTTGCTTACTTACTGTACCAACCATACCAACCATAGTTTATTATCCCCTACAACAGCTAATAAGCTAATAGCCTTAGTCAACAGGGGTTAAGTTCAATAAAAAAAAAAAAAAAAAAAAAAAAAAATTGTCACATTATAATAAAAATTAAAAATAGGTAATAAGGTCATAATGATTATAGTTAATAAAAAAAGGACAGAAACCGTTATTTCTAATAGATATTGTTATTAAAACTCACGGCATGGCATTTATCATGCCATTGGTGTTTATTTGTTTTTATTTTATTTTACTGTAAGGTTTCAATTTAATGTACCACGCGACCGTTGCTTTATGACCGGAATAAAATAAATATACACTTAATTGTGTGCAGTGTATTGTGTTCATGACTTAGGTATCTATCCCACCCGTGCACTATAATAATAATACTAATAATTTACACTCGTCCGAAACCTTTTGTTTAATTCTCCTGGGGTTTCTCTGTGTGACGACGTGGCCGAAAATTATGTGCATTGAGGATATTGAGCATTGACACTACTAAAAAATGAACACTCTGTATATAACATATAATACTATGCGAAATAATGGCAAAAAAAAAATCGTTTATTATATTTAATGTTATTTTGTGTTTCATATTACTACTATTACTTAGGCGTTTAAAATCGGTATTAAACACCCTCGCGTGGAATCACACACATGCACACACAAACTCAACCATATAATATAGGTTGTCACGCACCAAATTTTTACGCGATTCAATAATATTATATTATAATAATATTGTACTATTACGTAGGTACACAATATTATTTATACATAAAACCGATTGGAGTGCCGTTTTCCGACGTATGATCGATTGCGAAAAAAGTGTTAATGATTTATTGCCATTACGAGTATTTTTTGTTGTTAAAACACAAAATATAGTCAGCTTTTTTTTTACCAACTCGAATAATAACGGCCCTGCCCGTATAAAAACGCGGTAAATATTCGTCGGAATTGTTGTTTAAAAAACCATAGCACGGCACTACTCGATATTTTACCTCTACAAGAATAAAATCTATGAATCGTAAATATGTTTTTGTTAACAATTATTGTAACCGAATAACAGCGAAAACGACTATCTTTCGAAATCGGTTAGAAAAATAAAATATCTGTAAGTTCACAGGACATGTTAAAATGTAATATTATTTACAAATATCACGTCCAGTGGTGGTCAGAATTTAATTGAAATAATATAATATCGACTTCAGTGCAGTCTTTCACCTTATCATATAGCATTGCTATATTTTGTTATTGTAAGCGTGTAAATGCACGGGAGACATACTCAGATTTTAACTTGCCTTATTGTTAATAATAATATAACACAGATAAAACAAACCTTTGGTATTGTTATAATATCCAGGATTCTGCATTAGTGTCGTAGACTATGGAAAATAATATCTCAGTAGGTATTTATTATTATTGTAGTATTAACCCGAACTCATTTTTTTTTGCTGTTTAAAAAATGACGATGGTTAGTCTTACCGTGCAATTTGACTTTTTTCTGCTCGTAGCGTTTTACCATCTGGATTACATCTGTAAAATATTGTATTTTCTATTTTCTATATTATTATAACAATATGATTGCTTCGGTTTGCCTTATAAATACATTACCGTAAGACACCATAATATTACTGTGTTCAAGTAAGTATTGCGAGTCAAAGTCTCCAACATTTTATTTTTGCACCAAAAACAGTTTTCCGGAAATATAGTTTAACCAAAAATAACGAACACCAGTCAGAGTCAGTCGCTACAAAATGTTTTTCGTGAACTTTTTAAAGTATTTACGTCATTTCAGTCATTCTATGTTGTTTTTTTTAAACCTATATTTTTACTTTTTTGTTTTTGCATTGTTGTACTTTATAATAATATAGTATCATAATTTGTTTTAGTTTTTAACTGAAATGTTGTATGATATCTAAAAACGTTCATACTAAACAATATTGTTACTGTATAATACAGAGCACGATTCATCGAGCATTCTAGTCCTCATTTTCTCATTTAATAATGAATTTATTCAAACTCTGCTTATGGAATGTTTAAGTACATTAACTAAAGTCTATTTATTTTTTTTACAGATTTAAACCATTTACTTAATAATATAAATACAAGTAAAAGTATACTGAAAAACAATTTGGTTTAGCTACCTTCTTTAAGCAAAGCTTGAGTTGAAGGTTGCGAGTTATATTCTTAGAGATTACACAGTATAAACAAATTAAAATTTTAACAAAAATAACAAAAAGAAAGTATAGAAAAAATGACAAAGATATAAATTAGGCACTTATAAGTTTACAAATACAGGTTATAGGAATGTTTTTCAATTATTTAGATTATTTATAACATATAATAACGAGTACAAATAATTACTAATACCTAACTAATAATGAATAACTAAACACAATTATTTTTATCAAATAGAAAACCAACAAATTAAAAGTATTAAATTTAATATGTATATAATATAAGACTTAGTATTTATTATACTCTGACAATAAATAATATATGAATACAAATAATTATTATAAAATTTTGAATTTTTATAGATTAATATTACTTACTTTAATTGTAAAATCATCATCATCCCCGATCCCCTCATCATCTCAACCTATTAGATAACATGACCTACGAGTCCTATAAAACCTATCCTTCCTTATTACACAAATTCTATAATAATTTATAAACAAGGTAATCGTTTTAATTTCGATTTAGGTACATTTACATTTTCAAGAAAGTCACCCGCTTAAAATTTACAGGAAAATGGAAATTCTGGTTTGAAAAAAAAGAAGTTGGTATCGCCACAGGACACTCCTTAAATGGCAAATATCTAAATATTTGAAACTATGTTTACGTAATATGTATAATATTTATTCGTAGAAATTCTAAACATCAGTACTTGAATGAACTCATTGTCCAATGAAAAAATGTGGACGAGCATGCTTCGCAAATCATTCTGTACAATATTTATATATTATGATATTGACACTGATACGAAACGCAATAGCATCAAGTATAATATGTGTCAAATAATAATAAATTGTAATTTGAGCAGTTACGAGATTGAAATATTATTGACTTGGCTTCATAAAACGTGAATGTGAATCTACGCACTCGCCAGCGGATTGGGTGTGCATAAAACAAATACACCCTAATTAAATTCCAATTCGTAGCCTTACAAATATATGTATATTATAGTACATGCGTGTACATTTATTTCATGATAGCGCAGTACCTTCATCAACATATCCTCGCGAACTGCGTATTTTGCTGTTTGGAGAAATGTGGAAACGTAAGTGCGTTCACAAAAATAAAATAGCGGTTGACACAAAATCGAATGGCGTTGTAATTTACGGTATTCCAAATGACTGCAGTGATTTTGGTTTGAAATTTCTGAACAAAACCTACAGTTCGATACAAACGGTATTGGAGAACATATTTTGAAGACAAACTAATATTATCAACTACACTAAAACGTCCAAAGTCAAAATATTCAATGGCTACAAAATCTATGGTCAACAGATAGAGAAAAATATCCAAATAAAAAAAAAAATTTTATTTATACATTATTTTAATATTTAATGAAAACTTAATGACATTAGAAAAAAACTCTCATGACTTTTCAACGATTGCTGAAAGAGAAGAGATGTTGGCTCCACCACGACAAAAAACCAAAAATATTTTATGAGTGCAAGAAAATCTAAAACTACTCTGTCATGAGTATCTACTGTTTTATGACTTACTATTTGTCCAAACATGATATAGGCCGATTGAATATGTACTTATAAATTCTAAAATATATGCTTTAAAAAACCACCAAAAAACAGCTAAAGTAAATACTAAAAAGAAGTCATGGAGACAGTAAACCGTAGAGTAAACCTTAAAAGATAATTAGTGTTTCTTAATTGATCTTAATGTACCTAACAAAACAACGTTAGTACCTATACATTATGTGTATTCATTTAATAGTAAATATCAAAATAACAACACTGTATATAATTTATTATACATATTTTAAAAAATTCTAAAATATTAGAAGTTGTACATAGTTTAGAAAAAGCACTTACTAACTTATAAGTATAAATATTTTAATAATACCATCATAAAATAGCTTAAATGTGTGAACAAATAAAACTCGCAATTTAACTTTAAGGTAGTGTGATTCATACTGTAACTCAAATTCACATCTTATACTTACATTGTTTGAAGTGTATGCAAATTATACAGAGCTCTGATATTCTTGATTATAAAAAGAAACCACGTTATTTTTGGTCTGATAATCACATGTCGACTGGTAATGGGCACCTTTGCCATTTTTTCAGGAAAACACTTTAGAATTGAACTTTTCATATTATGTGGATATTGCGTGTATCTTCAGCCTATCTAAGCAACCTGAAGGAAAGAAATAATGACTCGCGTTAACTCGTATCTTTGGTATACAAATTAAAAACTATGATAACCGACAACATAGTAAAGAATTTGCAGAGTATCATCATGACACGTTGGGCGTATAGGCCGCCAAGTGTTTGACTCGCTAGTCGTTTGAACCTCAAAAATTTGGCTCCTACTTTTTGGTATTCCTGTGGCCAGTGAGTAAACATCACATGCCCCGAAAAATTAAAATAATATCTCACTTTCGAATGGCCAGAGGAACACTATAGGGCTTGTGCATTCGAAAGCTTAAACTTTCGGCTATCCCGCACGTATAGTACCACGTCGGCCAGTTTTTTCTTTTACCAGTCAATAATGTATATAATTATTACGTTCACCAGACCTTAACTCTGAGACTTCTGAGTGTGCAGATATTTTCCTTGTTATTTTATCGAACAATATAATATTATTATAGTACGTCGTATAAACATGGACACTATATTTCTACACGATATTTATAAAATCGTATACGAATCGCAATGTTTAATTTTGATCGCGCTTCCACAGATGCACCTGGCTGCAGGACTGAACGGGTGATGGTGATCGGCGCTTCCCGGGGCGAGAGCATGGACGTTCCTTGCGAGGTGGACGCTGACCCTCCAGCCAAAGGGTTCCGGTGGAAGTTCAACAACTCTGGAGAGACGATCGAAATCGGACCAGAACGGTACATATCCAATGGCACGGCCAGCGTGCTCAGATACACACCTGTCGCCGACCTAGACTACGGCACTCTGTCGTGTTGGGCAATGAACGGGGTCGGTCACCAGTCCGTGCCCTGCCTATTCCAAATGGTGGCCGCCGGTAAGCACTCCAATCTCTTTTTTATATGTCTTGAAATATTGTATTATATCGGTTAACAAATAGCTTAGGTGAACAAATACCGAAGCGCATTGAATTTTCTGAAATGTTGACAAGAATATACCTATATATTATGTTATTAGAATTAAGAGGACGACATAGCAAATTTCCGTTCACTAGTTTCAATAGTGTGTTGTTAGTTTTAATATTAGAGTGAATTGACCTATTATCATACTTTTACTTAAGAATATTATCTGTGCTCAAGAGTTGGCAATTTTTCAATATTTTCATTTTCAAGTATAAGATATGTGTATGTGAAATAAATTAAAAATGCTCATATCTCGCTTGAAAATTAAAATATCGAATAAAAGCCAACTCTTAAGCACAGATAATGTTATTATCTAAAAATGTTATGATATGTCAATTCACTATAATATCAAAAATAACAGCATACTATTTAAAATAAGGAACGATATGTCGTAAGTGTGTAAGACGGAGACAACAAATGCATGGGTTGGCGTCCCCTCAAGAAAATTTCGTAGAGAGTGGCTTTAAAATACCGATTTACACATGGGTTTAAACCTTGGTATAGTAAAAGTTTAAGTTTGAAAATGTGAGAAATATTGTACTTAAATAATTGTTCAACTGTTGAGCAAATATAAATGGTAATCGGGGTTTAAACTGCTTTTTAGAATTGTCTCATATTTTCAGTAGGTAGGAATATAAAAATATACGAAAATAACTCAAAAAGTATACTATACCAAACCCCGTCATCAAAAGAATTTCTGTGCAATTTCTATAATATTTGTTTTCTATTGTGTATATATTATATATATTTATTAAATAATAATATTTTTTTCTTATTAAATAGTTGCTGACTTTTCCTAAAATGCCAACTGCCAACATTATAATCCCATGCATAGTGATGAGCAATCCATAATCATTTATTATTATTTCGTATTTTTGAATTATTTTATGTATTTTTGCACTTGACTATCAATGGGTCTCGAACTCATCAATGTTGTTTTTTATATTCGATATTTTAATTTCGGGTTAATTTTAATTTCAGATTTCTGATATTTTTTCAAAAATATAAGTTTTATCGATTGAAAATGAAATGTAAACATCAATTAACCTTTTCACAGGATTTTTTTTTAGTCATTCTTGTCCCTTTTTAATGTGTTTTTCTTGTTTTGCCGTTATATTCAATAACAATTATTTTACAATTGAATAAATAATATGTTTTAACGACTTCAATATTTTTAGATATGGTATGGGTAATATGTTAACGATATTGATAAATTAAATTATATGGTTGCCTGTACCACAAAATTGGTATAATGTATTTGGTATGGGTAATATGTTAACGATATTGATAAATTAAATTATATGGTTGCCTGTACCACAAAATTGGTATAATGTATTTTTGGAATGTCTAATACAATGACAAATAAATACGGTTAAACGATTATAAAACTGCAAAATAATAATTATAACCCAGCCATTTATTATTTATTTTACTCAACTTGTAGGTACACGTTATAAATGTTATATACGAAATATATATTAGGTATATAATATCAAACAATATTGTTTATTATTGTGGACATATATTTATTTTTAGTTTTTATAAGAAAATTTACAATTTGTACAATTTTGCACAATAAGTAAATATGAATCTAGAGTTATTTGTAACGGTGAATAATTTGAGGAGAGCAGGCACCCATTAGTGACACTTTCATTTTGAAGTGTGGACATATATGGGAAAAAACAGTTGTACAGTAAAATAAACAATGTAAATTCAGGGTGATTACATACCTCATGTTACCCCCCTCCCTTTTTCTCCTTCAATAAAAACAGTACCTATTCAAAATTTAAATATTGGAATAGTTTAATATAATATTAACCGTACTTTCAAATTCTAAAAATTATTTTGTACCTATCAAAATCGAAATTTGAACAATTAGTTTTTGAGTTATTTGACTTCGTGTGAACCTTCGTACAACAGCCATTAGGTATATGATTTTGGGTTTGATAGATATATGAAGGCTATGGAAATTAAAACAATCCTAGTAACTTATAATATTAATAATTTATAAAAATCGTCCTAATTTTAATAAATAGTTGATCCAACATTATATTATCTGTTTTATATTTTTGTACAAACATTTTTAAGGGCTATTATCCTTAGTATAAACATTTTTATAAATTAAATATATATATTGTATTATCATATATGAACATAAATGTATGTTACACATCACATATATGAGACGATAAATTGTTTGCTATTAAAAAAAATATATAAATATAAAATGCCAGCCCCATTTACTCCGACTTTGTTTTTTCAAGAGGAACAAGGTTGACAAGACTTGCCTTTAAATACAATATTAATTTCTCAAGCTGCCTTCGCAGAACCAAGGTACTATTTGCTTTTTTGAGTTTAGTTTAAAGGAAGAATGTTTTACTCAGATTCGAGTTAATTTTTATACTATGCCTGATTGTTATTACATAATATTTTAGAAATATGTAATAACGTTAAGTTTACAGTAAACATCATATGCGTGAAGTCACGCAACTATTGCGTTTAGAACATTTAAGCAAAAACATGATCCGCACTTAATAGTTAGGTACCTACTGATAGACAAAAAAAAAACAAAACAAAGTGCTGTGGATGATAATAATATATAGGTAGAGTGATACGTCATAGTCATTGAATACTGTAACGAAAAACATTCGGTGATTTGTTTTTGTTTTTATTTACGTCGGTTAGACCGTTAGAGTTTTCTTAATGAAAAATAAATGGGAAAAAGTAAAATATTAATAACAAAAGTTTGTAGTGTACGGCACGGAACACGAATCGATTAAAAACACCGACAATGTAATTTAACTCGTTTTTCTCTACCCAATATATTAAAAAAACATTTTTTTTCTCCGTTATAATTATTAAGCTTTCGTCGATTCGGGTTGCTACTAACTGAAAAAAAAAAAAAAAAACGGTTTTCACCTACAACCGTGTACATCGTGTTTTCATTATTGTTGTGTTTTGTTCGAATCGATATTAGACAAGTGATGCTTTATGTTATTATTACTAAAATGATATCATCAGCAATACCACGCGACACGCGATGTGGGTGGTACTGGGTATACGTGATTATTATATACCGTGACAAAACCTCAATAGTAACAAAATAATATAATATTGAGTAATAGTATAAGGTGTGCGGTCTACCGTAATTGTTTCGGTAAAGCATGACATCTACTCAAATATTATATTACAATGTTAAACACATGATCGTCCATAATCTTTATGTGTATACACTAAGACATACACAATTTTTATAAAAATATATATTACTGTAAATAGTATCGACAAAACTAATTTTCATTTTTTTAAATGTCGTTTAAAAGGTTTAATACAGGCATACCATCAAAATGAGTTATGTCTTAACATATTGTCGTAATATTATATAGCTGGTACTCTTGATATTAAATACATAAATTAAAACTTTAAAGTCGTCAAAAATGAATAAAAACAATAAAAACCTAATCTCAATAATAACATCATTTACCTTTTACCCGTTTGAGCATAAACCCTGAACAGTCTGTATAAATACAAATTTGTTTTTAAATGTACCTACCACTCATAATAATATCGTGTTGTATTGTGTCCACCGGTGCAGGTAAACCGCAGTCGGTGCACAACTGCACTGTCCGGAACAACACCGACGGCGCGGTGGACGTGCAGTGCGAACCGGGCTACGACGGTGGCCTGCAGCAGGTGTTCGTGCTGGAGGTGTTCGCCGAGAACCTGGACAGCCAGGTGGACGGCGAGGCGCTGTACCGGAACATGACGGACCGGACGTCACCACGCTTTTCGCTGGGCAAGGTCGCGCTGGGCGTGCTGTACACGGCGCGCATGTACGCGGCCAACGCCAAGGGCAAGTCCACCGCCGTCACACTGCCCAGATTTTCGTTTCCCAGCTCCGAGAACCAAATGGGTGAGTACCACCACCATCCTGCTTACCATAAATTTTTTTTAGTCCTGGAGTCTTCCGTCCGCGTTTGGCTGTATATTATAATAATACCTACTGATACTTTGCAATTCTCAACGATAGTTTTCAAAATAGTTATGTTTTATCGTTTTTAGTGTTTAAAGTGGCTACAAATTGCCTAGGTATGTCGAAAACTAAAAATTGTTCAAAAACACGTGTTATTTATAAAATGTGTTCACTGGCATCAGGTAAAAATCTCGTGAGCCGTGGGTTGTGTAAGACCTCTGACATATTCATCATAGCAGGACAGACTTTGAACAAACGATGAGCTTCGGAGGGAGTAGGGCCTATGTGGCTTAGGCTTCTAAATTATTAAATTCCTTTCTCAAATTTTAGGTTTGACTGATATTATTTTTTTATAGTGTTATGACCGTATAGGTCGATTTTTTTTTTTAATTACTGAACACACAATCTCGCCCGATACTACTTATTACTGATTTACCAAACAATAATAATATATTCAGTGAATTTCAAAAATATACGTAAATGGGAAAAAATTATGTTTTATTAAAAATATGTATGTGATTGACGTATGAGAATCGGTACTACGATTGAGTATAATAATAAAAACTATATTATACAATTGATTAATATGCCATCTTCTCCGTTATCCTTATTCAAACTTATAATTTTAATTGCTTTAATTGGTTTAAAATTATATCCGTTATATATTCATGTATACTTGCTCAGTGGTTGTTGGACTATTTAAAAATATTTGAATTTAACATTATTTCGTGTTAATTGATATTGATATGATAGTATAATACAAATAATATTATATTACAATCGAATATCTTTCGTAATTATAGTGATTACGAAGTACGAACTCTACACGGATCACAGTATTTTATTCGTTCAAACTATGGATTTTGTACTGAACATGAATGATTTTATTTTTTTTTTTTTAAAACGTTCATCGGTAGTAGTTTTATATAAAAATCGGAATAGATTTCGCATAATTAATTGAGCTTCAACGCAGCATAATTAATTTACTTCACTATTGTTTGACGTTTACTAGTAAGTGTTATCTCGATATGATGGAATAATCTTATTATACCCATAATATAATATATTCATAATATCAAATCCGTCTAACTATAACGTAGACTATTCATTACGACGTTCATACAATAAATTCTGAGATTCCTTTCATCAGATCCAATTGTAGATGTCATTCAATTATATGTCAGAATTAATACCTGGGATACGATATGGGGATTAATATTATAAGTACCCAAGTGCACTGGTCCTATTTTTCATTTATGAGAATCGTCATTAGTATTCATGAATGATATCCCACTTTGTCATAATTCTATGGAACTAAAAGTGTTAGTTAATAAAGTTGGTTTGAAATATAATTTACCTGGTCATAGAATTACAAAAAAAAAATAAAGGATTTATATTAATTAGTACTGCGCCTTTCCTCTACTATGACTTTTGTATCAATTAATTGTGTATTAGTATGTGAAAAAACTATACAACGCATTTTTAAAACGACGGGTGATATTATGTCCATTGAATCAAGACATAAAAAAATATAAAACAAATAAATATAAAGGTAAGCTAAGAGAGAACTCTAAAAAATATGATAAAAGATTATCATTATCTATATCTCCAATGAAGAATTTAAACACGCCTTTGACTTAACAATTTTTAAACAAAAGTCAGAGAGTTTCCACAATGGTGGGCTTCAAACTTCATGTGATTTCATGTCGTTAATCATGATATATATTAAATTGACGTATTGTATATAAAATAGTGCAGATTGTAAGTATACTATTATGTTAAATAAATAAAAAGAACTATTATTAAAAAATAATTGCAACTTTTGATAGTATAAGTTTTTTAATGTATATGAATGATTACATATTATTATTGACATATTTGTAGTTTAATATTTTCATTAAAAGTGTTTTGGAATCTAATTTTGAGGTGAGTTACTCACTATAATATGTCTGTATGAGTACCTACCTTGCGTACTTACTTAAAATAACTTTTTCTTATTTATATTCTATAGTTCTATACAAATAAGTACGTTGTACGACATAATAAAAGATGTTAATAGATATTTTGTAGTATGTATTACAAGTGTCAACCTGGTATAAGTTATGAATTCGTTTTAAATTTGAACTAGAATATCAAACATACAATGAGCTGTCTTGGAAAAATAAAATAATAATTTTTATAATTAGTTGATAATATAGTATTATAATATATTTTGTTTAAATTCTTCTTCTGTTTGGAATTTTTGTAATTTGTCTGTAAAAAATACCTGAGATACAAGTGACAGTTGATATTTGCTTTTGCTAAAAAGCAGCGTTTAACTTTATGTCTTGTAAAACAAAAATGTAATACTATTAAATAAATTAATATATAAAATGTTTGCAAATATATCAAATTTCTAGCTGCAGATGCCTTGGTTATAATTTTTTTTTATTGTTTTATGGTTAGTTTACTGCAGGTGAAATGGAAAAAGTGTATTTTTCTACAACTTAATGCTATCACTGCATTTCTGTAGATTTCCTAAAGCTGTGTTAATATTTGAATGACAGATGACTAGACAAAGTGACAACCAAATCCGCAGCCTGGATCTATTCTTGAAAGTTGTGTGCCAACAATAATGTAATGAAAAACAATTGATTTTCATCAACTATTACGTGAAAAAGACATTTGAAAACACTTTGATACGTTTAACTCTAAAATACTCTTGTAAAATAACTCTACAGTCTACAGAAAGGAGTAATGTCAATGTACAAAATAGTAATAATAATATTATGTACATCTCTTTATTTCTTCATATTTTTTTATTAAGCGATTTGCTTCTTTAGTCGAAAAATAAGCTTCATTGATAATAATATTAGTACACATAGAGTGAAGAAATCACCCAGTGGAGGTACTTCGTCAATAGATAGCCAATAACTATAACTCATATGCACTTGCATTTACATTTTTTTGTGATGATAAATATATTTTAGCATATGATTCAGACCTGTGATAAGCTAGCAAGCGTTTATGTTTGAATGCGAGAGCGTTGTGGAGGAGGTTATCAGGAGGTTTTTTGCCAAATTCCTCGGGTACTGGGTATGGAGACTATCAGCGATTTCAGCAATAAATATAACTAGAATTTCAGGTTTTTCATGACGATATGTTCGCTAGTAAGTAGATAGATAGATAGATAGATAGATAGATATAATATGATAGCAAGGACAACAAAGACATACAATGTGGTACTTCATTGCAGACTCGTATGCAATATGATTTTCTGATAAACGAATACGTCCGTCTTTAACTTTTTTGTACTGATATTGTTATTAAATAAACGTTTGTTTTCCGTGTAATAGGTTTAGGGTATACAGAAAATTATGGACATTATTTTGAATTTGATTGAATAGATACGATATGTCAACAATTTTATTTAATTAGTTTTCTCATACAACAGCATGATTGTAATAATATTATATTTTGTCGACGTGACATTGTAGTCTGTGAATTCTAAAACTGTTAGTAGTATTTTCCGTAAATGTCTGCCTCCACCGTCTCTGGCAGTGTCAAGTATGACGATATGTCGACGAGCGCTGCTCTATTTCCAGTAGGTACATAATAAAATTGTAAACCAAAATCGATACCGAAGTGTCGGAATAAAAAAATAACCTCACCTGGCTGAGAGTCTCACCTAGTGTTCTGGTTTTTGTTGTTTAATTTTCGCATTTAACGACACAATTAACCTAATTTGTATGGCTCAAAATACGTTGTTGTCGCCAAACCTAGAGCGCAAGCGCAAGAATGCCCTACATCACACTATAGCGAGGTATGGTAAGGTTTGCTTTCTTACGGTTTTTGTTAGCACGGTATCGGATTCACCACCAGACCCGATTCTGAAGAAAATAATGATAGTATTTTGCGCACTAGTGATAATAATAATTATTGTATTACTTTGTACACTTTGCAATAATGATTGTACTTATAAAATTTAAAATTAAGTTTGGGAAACGTCCTAATAAATGCATAATATTAATTTAACCCAACCGATTACACTAATCACAACATATTATTTTGCTGTTTTCTGATTGAACATGAATATATTATTATCATATGTATTACTATTATTTCGTATGTCTCTAAGGATTAATTTTTCTTGATTATTCATACTGAACGCGGTTTCTGCATGGTATTTAATAAACCTAATAATAATTATAATATTATAATCGTTTTAACATTCACATACTTTTATATTACTTTGTTTTATCTATCATTTATTTCACATCATTGCTATCTATTCAAATATATATCGTTTAGCTAATTATAATACAGATTTTCCAGCACTCTAATCAAATTTATTAAAAAATTGTTTGTATGCCATAATATTGTTTTATCGCCACGTAACTATAATATAAACAACCTAATAGCTATCTAATGTTGAAAATTAAATGACTATTTTTCATTATAGCACGTATAGTACGTATAATATTATTATTATTATTTTTAGATTCTGAAGGGAGTGAGGACGCTAGTGTTTATACAGTGGTGTTTATTTTTTTTTTATTCTGTATTCAAAATTTCTACCAGAAGGATGTCTCCGATTTCAACATATTATAGTATCTTATCTTTTAGCAAATTGGATCAAGATGGTACTTTAAAGAGGTCACTTTTTGATTTTCTCAATAGTTATTTAATGCCACGGAAAAAACCACCGACAAATTGCGAAAAACCTCTAAAACGGGATTTTAATAATTTCTAACGCTTTGTGTATTACCATAAAACGAATAAAAAATTGTGACGAATTTAAAAATATTAATTCAACTTATAGGCTATAATAAATAATAACAATATAAATTATCCAGACCGACAACCCGGTCAGAATCGTTTTTAATATACAATGATATTATATCATTGAATTCAAATTTAAATACATACATTAATTGAGATATATTCTTCGGAATTTGTTTGTATTTTGATTGTTTCTAAAACTATCATAGTTAATTTTATTTAATACATTATATTACATAAAATCTAATACAATATATTTTATAAATTCTATCCTTGCATATTTAATAATGATTTGATAAAATAATAAAAATATACTCATAGGTTACTCGAAAATATTGGTAATGGTCGAAGGTCTGTATCAATTTGGCTATTGCTGCAGCTGCTGCTACTATTTTAGATCGACTCAGAACAATCTTTAATATTATTGGTCTCTTCTTTTTTTATTGATATAAGGCATCAACATCTATGGTCATTACCCTGAAGGTTATTTTGTAGGTATTTAACTTGTGGAAGGGTATGGTTGGTTAGAACACGTGGACTTGTATGTGGCTAGGATTTGTCACTAAAACCTGGATGGTCAGTGTTCACCCATCCGGGAACTAGTGACACCGACTGATACCAAACTCCGCGCTATACCAGTCCAATATAATATTATCGACATTGGGATATTTTTTAAGTATGTATTTGTTCAAATGCTTTACACTGAATAGACATATAATTTTTTACCTAAGTACGGTGGTAGTATTATGATTTTTATAATAAAAATAATGTGATGTCATAATATTACATCATAGGAAGAATTTGAATTTATCTCAAACAACAATAAACGTTAAAATTATTTTTAAAAAAACATAAAATTTATATGAGACGACTATTGGTATCCTATTGGCTCTCAGCATAGACGTGTGTAGTGTGCGTAAAACCACACACTATTTTCTATTTTTACACATTATCAACGACACATCACTATACAAGACGATCTTTGTCGATTTATTAAAACGACGCTATAATATCATACAAAATATAATATTACTACAGCTGTCTCGAGATGTTTGCAAGTATGCATTATAATTTAAATTCAACGTGGACGTTCAATCCGTATAAGTAACAGGTACCAACTAGAACAATAATATAAGAGTGATGTGTTTACAATATGCGTAAAACGAATGCAGGACACTTCGTCCCGAAATGTTTATTGTTTGACAACGATAAAACGACTGACAATTTTTTTGTTAGTTTTTTTGTTGGTGTTATCCAATCATATTGTTTTCAATAAGCCATCGATGTACGAATCTGTGTTATGAAATGCTTTATTTCGCACTGACGAGCACTCATTAAATAATTCAGGTCCGCTGCAGAGGTCAGCTTAATGGGAAAAAAAATCCGTTGGCTTAACTTGAATAACGGTTGAGCGTACCTGCCTATACACACAATATTATATATATATATAGTGTCTGACGAAATGACTCTGAAAGGTGTTGTGGGAACCGAAACCCTATCCGGGTGTGTGTGTGTGTGTGTGAGCGCGTCTCTGAGAAAAGGATTAATTGAAACTTTCAAGATGCTGTGCAGGCACAAAGGAATCATATTACAAGTCATAGTAGTAGTAGTATGATACTTTCGTCGACTCCATATTTACCTCATTGGTCTTTTCTATGGGAGGTGTGGCGTGTGTATTATATATAGCATATTATATAGATGGTCGGCGCGGTAGTGGTAACGCCGAGAAGACGCTATATTATTATTATTATGTGGGTACGTGAACTCGGAAAGAGGGGAAACAAAATGAATAACTGAAAAGAAGTCTGCGTTGGGGGCTATAATACATATACATATTATATATTATATATATATAAAGGGCTAATCTTTCAACGCCAGGACTTTTCAAAACCAATGTGTTCATTAAAATTTTAAAAAATACGACGGAGGTCCATTTAGCTCTAAACCATTTTAAATCTAAAATGAAAACATATTCACGTATAGTGAATATTGAATTTTATAATATTATTATTATTATTATGTCATTATTGTCTGATATCCTATTTGCGATGGAACTTTTTTCAGACTTATGTGAGGCGAGTCACACGAGTGTCTTCTTCTTTTTTTATAGCTTTTACGGGCCATTTAGATCCATTGCCGCAACAACCACTTGCCTCCATCCATCTCTATCTCGAGCTAGTGCTTTTCCGTCGCTTACTCCCAATCTCAATGCATCTTTTGCAATCCTGTCTTTCCACCGCTGTCTGGGCCATCCTCTAGGCCAGTGGTTCCCAAGCTATTCTATTCTACGCCCCCTTTATATATTTTCAAAAATCTCGCGCCCCCCCCTTTTTTAAATTGAAAAAAAATTGATCATATTTTTTTGTGTTCTTTAAAAATAAACTTTAAATTATTCAGAATGACTACTTTTTTATTGATGTTAATAATAATAATAATAATGGTAAATAAAAAAATACATAATGAAATTAGATGTTAATAATAATAATAATAATAATAATAATAATGGTAAATAAAAAAATACATAATGAAATTAATAAATAATGTTAATGCTGACAACACTTTTCCTTGGACAGTTTTTTTATGTTCGGCTCAATATTTGATAATGAACACCTTAAGTCAGATGCGACATCTAAACGATTTCTATGTTTGTTTTTTATAACTGCCATGCTGGAGAACCCAGATTCGCACAAATATGTAGATGAAAATTGTACAAGGACTTTTAAAGCTTCATTTGAAATTTCAGGATAAATAGGTTGGTATTTTACCCAAAATTCTTCCAAAGAGCTACCACTGTTAAAATCAATTTTCGCCCGTGAATCGTTCTTCAGCTCGATTGCCTGTTCTTGAATTATATCTGGCAATGTGTCTACGTTAGTACTGAATGGAGAACTTGTTAACATATATTGCCAACTTTTGTTCGAAAAATTTGGAAAATATCGAGTGAATTCATCAGTCAAACTGTCGAGATGTTTAATCACTATATCTTTCAATCCAGTAGGACAAAATGGTTCTTCTTCATCAGAGAGAAGTTCGTTCAGTCGACGGAAAGACGAAAAATTAGGAGTCTCTTTGTTTACTCGGCGTTTCCACAGTTGTATCTTTTCTAGAAATGAGTTGATAGTATAGAGTCTAGGCCTTCGGGTGTCCGGCTTCCAGCCTGTGGCTAATCCTATAGGGCCTTCGGACCTCAACACACGCCCAGCCATCATCCCAGTCTACTACTCTTGAGGACTCCAATTATATTTGTTTCACCATATAGTTCTTCTACTTCTCGGTTTGTTCTAAGTCCCCTAGAGCGTTTCTTTATGGTCCAAATATCCTTCTAAGGACCTTTCGTTCAAACGTAGCTAGTCTATTTTCATCCGTCACACGCGTATAGTAAAATTAAAATATATACGTGTCGATAAATTTTCGAATAGTACTAAGACGTATGTATTGTGTAATGTGTACATAGACTCGTTACGTCGCTCGTTTCAAACCAGTTATAATAATATATAAGCTAGCTTTCCGTTATTAAAACTTCTCCCGACGACGACGACGACATTCTAAACGCCATTCTATGGTATAGTTTAAAATTCAATTTTACCTCATTGTACCGTACGAGGGAAGACTATTGTTGTGCGCGCGCCAGTCCTTTTTTTCGCCTAAAATAAAAAACCGTACTACCTACGGTTTTTCTAAGGATTCGCGTGAATATTTAAAGCCACCGTACACAAATGCAGCCATAGTATATAATATGCGAATAGCATATAATATGATGTACCCTATATAAAACTGTCCACGGGTCGTGCGGAACCCAACCGTTTAATTATTAACAGCCGTTGCTGTGTAGTATCCTTTTTTCCTTCTTAATAAAGTCGCAATAATGTTTTCCACCCTGGCTCTTTTTCGCAGATTTCCACGGGCCCAAAGTGTACGCAAAATTCCACGGACGTCGTTGTGTGTGTGTGTGTGTGTGTGTGTGTGTGTGTGTGTGTGTGTGTGTGTGTGTGTGTGTGTGTGTGAGAGAGAGAGAGTGAGGGGGCTCGCGCGCGTGCGTTCGTCCCGCGGCGACTTGCGAAGAGCGTTTAATAAAATATTTATAACGAGCGCGCGAGGCGCATATTAAACGAAAAACGACACACAATTCTCTTTCGGCGGTGGTGCGCGAGAAGGAACTTTCGGCAAGCTTATTATTCATAATTAAATTCAATCTTGTCGAGTTTGCCGGCGGATCGTCATCGTCGTAATATTCGACTTACCTGTGCCGCGGCGGCTCCGGTGCTCGTCGGAACACGCGACCTCCCCTCCCCCCCCCAAGCACGTCACGACACTCCGCCTAGTCGGTGTTGGCCCAAGTCTTTAATTTATCGCAAACTAATGTCACACAGATATAACGGCGATGGGGCACGTATAACTTGTCAAGTGTACGAGATCCTCACAAAGTAAACTTTAATTAGCTATAAAGTATGATTGCTTGAAACATTATACAGCGACGCACGGAACCCCTCATCGAAAGTCTTCGGATGTATCACACAGAAATGTGCACACGTACAACTCTGCACACCGTGACACACTAAAAGTAACGACAAGTATCGTATAATATTATGGTTTAGGCGTGTCGTTCGTCCAATATTAAAATAATATATTATTTTACGTCGGCATAATATTTTAGTCGCCTTTGCGTTGCATTTTGCCGCGTTGTTTAATCACCCGTAAGACCGTTTAAAACTAAAAGAGGAATTCTCTATCTATAGGATAGTATGTGACAATTACATTATGCACTACGATTATTCTAGTACCTACCAGCATAATATTATTATATTATTATAGACAGTTTTCAATTTGAAAAATGGTATATTGAGCAATTCACTGCAATCGGTTATATTTTTCAAGTTAACAAGAAATATACTCTTTACGACAATATTACTGAAACTTTATCGTTTGCTTGTCTTTTTCCAGTTAATATTTTTTGTTTAAAATTAAATTTGGACGATATGTTTCTTGGACTTTCGATTGTCAGTCTTATAATTGCATGTTAGTAGGTATATTTAAATCACATTAACTACAAAACCACCAAATTTTGATCTGGGATACTCTCAATGCAATATAGAGACCACATGTAATCCGATATTTTCATCCCAAAAATAAAAGCATTTATTGAAGAGAACAGCGTCATAATATTATTCTGCAAAACGTATTCTCTTAAATTTTATCAACAGCCAAATGTCAACACTGAATCAATAAAAAAAAACTTTATCTGTAGTCGCGGCAAGTTGGTTTTTAAAAAAAATCGGTTCAATTCAACAAAAAAGGGAGTTAATTTGTATAGTTGCAGGTATTATTTTGTCGAATGGCACTGCTGAGTGCCTGCATATAAAGGGCTACCTCCTGTTATAAACCTTGTATAGAATTCACCCATTGTACTTATCGTATTGTATAGATTGTAAATAAAATGTTTAGTAATAAAAAAAAAAAAAAAAATGGTATTATTTTAAGTTGTATTAGTATAATAGAAACTATACTAGAACGTGTAATTGTATACTTACTACTTGGGTAGTTAAGTACTATAGTTAATAACATAAGATATATATTTTTAGCTATCAAAAAATATGTTATGCTACTGTTTCCCAGATAATGTTCTCATTTATATTTAGTTTCGTATACTATTGTTATTGCTTTCACAAGTTTCTTTTGTGCGCCAAATGGTTCTATCGCTTAATGGTTAAAATATCGTGGTTAAATGGCAGAAGAATGGGGTATATAATTGATATAATTTCGTGAGATGTTGAATATATTTCAAATGTGTAAATTTGTTTTCAAATGTACATATTAAATAGTAATTTAATCTTGCGTTTTCGTTTTATTTTTCACATACTAAAGTAGTTCCTACATTCAATCTTTACATAAACATTATTATTATCGTACTCTCTGTTCTACTTCTAATACTTTGAATATTTAAAATAAGCAATTCTTATACATGTGCGTAGATGGTCATGGGGTGTACCCCTCTCACCCATTGACCATTTTTTTACGCTCTCAGATTTTATGCACCGATAGCTCCCCTACATAATATTATGTTTATTGAAATTATCCACAACCCTCCATTGAAGATTCCTAAGAGCACCACTGTTCTTATATCAAACAATAATTATAACTATAAATTCAAATCTGAAATATGTGCTATCAACAGACCATTATAGATTTTGTTGACAATATTGTTATATAGTATAATTTATACAATAAATTATACCCAATGGCTTAGGTCATACATGAAAAATAGCATGTTCAATAATTGAAGCAATTATAATTTAGTAGTTGTTCTATAATATATTTATGAACAAACAATTGGACGATACGTTATGTCGGTATTGGCTCGCGTTTCCGAGTGGACTGTTATTTTTGGAATGTTAGTTTAAAATAACAAAAATAATAATAACAACAGTCAAATTGCAGTTTGCGAAATGGTTAAATAGTAACCTTACCATATACCTCACCACGCTTGTTTGCGTCTCCATCGTCGGCTAACAATAATATTATAAAAATATGGTCGTTTTTATTTTGTTCGCGAGTTCAACCAAACGCCTCTGATAAGTATACCAACGCGTTTTACAAGTTTTTATTGTGCGTTTTACAGGATTTGGCGTCGAAGTGTTAAAAGTGTCACCGATGCTGATAACGATAGTGAGTGTTGGCCTGTTGCTCATCATATTGGCAACCATCGTCGCCGTAAAACTGAAGACGGCGAACAGTAGAAAACGCAACACAAGGCAACCCACCGGCGGCGACAAACAAGTGATTGTCCACCAGAGGAGTAACGGACAAATAGCCTCGTCCATCCTAGAAACGGACACCGACCCTGACCTGATTCAAGTGAAATACGGTAATTTATGAATTTATTTAATTACGGGAAGTCGGTATAAAACTCAAAAATAAATATTATAATATTAATGAACTCATTCACTTTTCGTTTTAACGTAATATTAAAATATGTTTATGGGCAAGATACGAGATTTTTTTTTCGATTCAGACCGATTTTTCGTAAAGTTTTCGTTGCCATGGTTACTTATTAACAAAAACATATTTACGATTCGTATAGATTTTCCTCGTAGAGGGAAAATATCGAGTAGCGTGCCATGGTTTTGTTTTACTGTTTTTTTTTCCAACGAGTACAAAGTTGCCATCATATTATTTTGTTTACACGGTATACATACTATTGTACTTGCGAATGTCTAATAATTAAAAAAACAAGGGGTAGTGGAATTCGCATTTATCGGTGGTAAATGGTGACATTATATGTACGTATTGGATATGTATATATTATTATTGTAACCGTTTTATTAAAAACAATAAATTAAATGTGTACACTTTCAAAAGTTATGTGACGTTAAGCGACTGCGAACGAATCAATTAATTTAACATTAAAACGTATCTGTACGTGTTATAAATTACTTTTATGACGTGTAAAAGTGATTCATATATCGATGCGATGAAATTTTTTTGAAATAATAATACCTAATAATTTTTTTTTTCGATTTACTGAATCCCTTTAGTTTCGTCAACGATTTCGGCTTCGTATTACCTATCTACAGAGTGTGTTTATAAAATACGTACCGTATAGTAAACACCCCGTATTAATGGCGACGAGATAAGTTTTAAAGCACACGCATGTCGTTTGGCACTCTCGAGGTTAGACAGTTTTTTTTTTCTTCGTTTGGATCGAAAACAATCACCCGAATAATAGAGTAGTTTATCACTACGCCACATACATAAATAACACTTAATTCTCGCGAAACTTCCGGAAAACGTAATCTCATCTACGAAAGTATTTTATATATATATATCATAATAACGATATAGTGGCGTGGTGGTGGCCAAAACATAAATAATAAAAAAGAAAGGTGTCCGATAAGAGTATGTTTTTTTTTCTAACCAATATGTAATAATATTATGTATATAATATAATGTATAGTATAGCTTATACATATATATATATATATATATATATATATATACTACACTCAGCTATAGTTCAAATAAATTGATTCGGTCGTTCATCTTGCTCCGAGTAAAATATTACGCGAAAATCGAATCAAATTTGTGACTACCTCTATATTATATATTATAAGGACTAAGCTGCAGAATATACACTGATACGAGTTTATAAAATATATAATCTATAATAATATAGGTTGGATATTATGTAACCTATATATTATAAAACACG